GCAGATACCTCTCAACAAAAGCATGACTGTGTGGGTTTGCTATCCNTTATTTCGAAAAAAGTATTTATTGAAGTCAATGGAGACAGAGAGAAAGATTATCTTTTGATCCCGTTTGAATTGTGCCAAGAATTACACATATGATGTTAAACATCATATGTGTAATTCTTGGCACAATTCAAACGGGATCAAAAGATAATCTTTCTCTCTGTCTCCATTGACTTCAATAAATACTTTTTTCGAAATAAGGTCCCATGGAGCCCCGGAAGGGGAGGGACTTCGACACTCTATTAACATTTTAACTGAGCAAAAGTTGTATTATGCATCTACTTTAAATAGCAGTCATACAGGCATTAATGACTTGCTTGGACAAAACATATTACTAAATTGGCTTTTTAATAGTATAATTAAGGACTTTTGATTTTTGGACTTTGACTAAATGTTTTAAATTAGATTAACGCAGATTTAATGTACAAATAAAAAGTAAGATTTCCATCAGCTCTCCTGGCCCAAAGTGAAAGTATACTCCTGCAACATGCCAGCTTCACTCACAAAAAAGTTGTTTCATGGGTAAAAAATCAACACAAATGCACTGACTAACTAAATGGGAGCAATCAGCTGGTTAGAACAAACATGTTTGTTTTTTGTAGGGAGTTCATAAAACGACTAAATCCATATGTATGATCAAGCTGCTTGGATATATTTATTAATTGGGAAAGCCGGGCAATGATTGCACAGATTCCCCTTCTCGGCGTTGCAAGATAATCTTTCTCTGCTGAATTTGTGACTTGACGAACAGATAACCCATCTTAAACCAGGGGTAAAATAAAGCTCCTGTAAAAAGTGAATGACTGTAGCCTGGGATTAAATCATCATCCTGATTTGACTTGGTCAAAAGTATAGCTTTGTGGGACTCTTAAATAGATTATAATAAAGCAAATGTTTGCCGCAGCCTCTGATATGACAGCCTGCAGTCTTAACAAACTCTTTCCTTCCTCCAGTCACTGTCCCGACATGCTGGACGGCAGCCTGAGCAGTGTGGGCTCCTCCACAGACTCCCCGGGCAAAATGGAGGGAGTGTCGCCCTCCTCGTCCAGCAACTCGCCGTTCGCTTCCCTCCAGGATTTTTCGCCAAAGTGAGCGTGGGATTTGAAGAGAAAGTTTAAATATATATTCTAAAAGACTGGCGCCAAAAAGCATCTCTCCAGGGAACACGCCTCCTTTTCAGACCCTCCATCTCATCATCGCTTAGATTTGGTGGATTTTCTCCATGTTTGTTTCTGAGCAGCTGTTCTCATGGCTACAGTTTGGAGGGTGAGTTTGATTTAAGGAAGCAAAAAGCCATGGATGAGTTTTTTTTTAGTGTGAAACTAAGAAAACGTCTGAAGAAACTGGAGCACCAGCTGCTAGTAGAGGATATGGATGGTGCTCGGCTTCATAGTGATTGTGTTCATTACTAATGCTCGAGCACTGGACTTAAAGAGAATGACTATTTGGATGTGTACATTTCCCCTTTTCGTGCTGGAAACCCTCTGTCAGCAGGCTTCTTCTTTTTTTTGTATGTACATTCCTGTTATTTTGTAAGAAAAATATTTAACTTATTGTTTCCCTGCTTTGGCTTGTAATTATGTACATAATATCCTGTGAGATGTAGTTTTAGGTTTGGCTGTGAGGTGAATGTGGGCAGAGGTCTTCAGCAGCGAAGAGTTCTCTTTGTAAAGGAACTTAAACTACTCCTGGGGTACACCTATGGAGATTTCCTCACTGTTCTACTGGAAGAGTTGTGTTTTCAGCAGATTTTCATCATATTTTTATGATACAGCAAACTGTGGTGTTTTTTTTTTTTTATATGACCCAATCCCAAGACTTGCTGCGTCTTTGTGTGCAACACTAAGGGTTCCTGTGTTTTTGTCAGGATGTCTGTATATAAGCAGAGTGTAGAGATGTTCTGACCTATGAATTTTGTGAGGTTTCATATTCCCATCAAAAGTAAACATCACACCGTCACATGGTGACTGCTGTTCCTGCTGTGGTTATATTTGTTAAAATCACTTTTTGAGCAGAATGCCCCATCCTGTCAGTATGTTTGAGCGGGATAGACGTCAAACTTTCTTATAAGAAAAATATCCAAGAAAACAGTATACTGTACTTCTTTCAAATGTCCCGATTCCAGTGTCCATATTCCCTGTGTATATACAAAAGGAAGTGATTGTAAATCATATTATGGAAGTGTGCCCCTTTTTTAATTTAAAGATACATTTGGTTTAATTTTCTTTTTTTCTTTGTACGAAAAAGAAAAAGCAGTCTGCTTGCCCTGCTGTGGAGATGATCTATTTTCTCATCGTGTTAAGGGCATGAATCTACTCTGTAGAATTTGATACTGTATGACTGCAATGGAAAAACTGTAACAATCTGCCAAGCCAGCTGACAACTCGCCTATGCTTGTCTTTTGTGATTGCAATCGTAGTGAACATCAGGAATAAATAAATTATTTCTTTATGAGTTTGTGAAGCTGTTTTTCTTGTCAGGAGCACTAAAACGTAACCATGGCCACAGCAGGATATCCCTAAACCTTATTTACTAGTCTGGAACCAAATGGTATGCAAGCAAATCAAATGTTTAAACCTGATAAAATACCAAAGGGAGATCAGAAACCATGATCAATAGAAAACTGAGGCATCATTATCAAGTGTTGGGCTCCACGCCCTTCTGACCCAACGTATGAAGTCTAGAGAATAACCTAGTGTTATACCAGACAGCTGTACTGAGACTTTATTTCATGTTTGGAGCACTGATGTATTGAGACAAGCCACTGCCTTCAAAAGATGTTCCTTTTGTTTACATGTAAAAGTATCTGCTGGAAATAAAATAAACTCATCTGAATAAAGTATCAACACATGCAAATAACTGCATTTAGTCAACATTTATATAAAAAAAAAAAAAAAAAAAAGCTTTAAAACATCCATATAATGATGGTTACAGAAAAATACCATAAGAAAATTTTAATGGCTTTATATACATGTCTGCATGTAGAGTCCTTCACACAGTTAACCATACTCTGTTACATAATGGCAATACAAACACGGAATATGAGGTCAAACACTTTGAATGGCCCTCATGTTTCTTCACGGGCCCTCCTTTCACCGAGGGTCTCCGCAGCTCAGCGTCAATTTATGTATCAACACAAATAAGCGGCTTTTTAAAACGAGTATATTAAAAAATGATTTTTCAGGGGCCGGGGTGAATAAGTACTGCGTCCCTCTGCGGTCAGCCGTACTCATTGAAGCGTAGCAGTGCCTCCTGTGTGGGGACGTTCTTCTCGTCTTTAGATCATGACCCTCCTCTCAGCTCGCTGCGCATCATGTGCGTAGGATGACCATCGTAAGAAGACCTAAAATATCATTTAAAAAAAGAGCAGCAGGATATTTTTTACTCCAGCACGTACTCTTTCAATGTGATTTCCTGTCTGATTGCGTGTATTATTCTTACCGAGAACGTAAGCAGCTACAAGTTTCTTGTTAACACTTAAGTGGAGGTAGAGAGGCACAGTAGATTCTTGCTCCCCCAGGGTGGGGAGCATCAGGGCGACCATACACACCAGCCCCAGCAGCACCGTCAGCAGACTGGGGCCTCCAGCAGCAGGACGGCTCTCTGTCGGGCACACACACATTCACTTGATTGATCCAAAGGGCAATAAACCATGGAGGTACAAACTCGTAACACCATTCTAAGTGCTAACCCTCAACCTTCTTTTTGAGTAGGTTTTACTGGCTAATGTGCAGTTAGACCAGATGGGTGAAGGAGCCTGCATAGAAGATGTGTATACTTTCAGCAGCCCTGATATCAGTTGTGATTTTAATCCACCATTTTGGAGCCAGGATAGCAAACACACACAGTCATGCTATTGTTGAGAGGTACCTGCCGATTGGCAAATACAGAGCGAAGTGCATGTACACATACGTAAACACTGCAATGAGATGCATCACTTAATGGTTAAAGGGAATATTTAGACAATTCATTCATGAGATGGATTTAACCAAAAAGTTTGTAGATTAAAAAGGTGTTGTCCTTTGTGCATTCATGCACAAATCATTTGACTTGAAAGTAACAGACTCAAATGCTAATGGGATTGCAGAATTGGCCGTCCATGTACTACCCAGTACTTCTAAAATCATACTAAAAGATCCGATGTGAAAATGATTACAGACTGTTTGGCATTATTGTCATATTTTGTTAACGAGGCCAATAGCGGTTTTAAAATTGTAGATGAAACATGTAACGTTTAATGTCCAGTGAATGGTGATAATGTATTTGAGTTTGAGTTGAAGGCATTTGGCTCCATCTAGTGGTGAAATCACAGTAACAGCTCTCAGTCCTACCTGTATGTAAAACAGTCTGTTCAAAGAACTCGCTGTCTGCCAGTTCTTTGATCCTGCGTTCGTCATCTTGGGGCCGGGGGCTGGGCGGCTCCTGAGAGGCGGAGGGACGCAGCGTGGCAGTCACCTCTTTGCGTCCCAGGGCTTTCCGCTGACTCTGCTCCGACACCTGCAGCCGGAACTTGTCGTACACGCCATAATGGCATGGACGCACATCTCTGTGTCGGATTACTCTGTGTGGACAGAAGACATGAAAACACGGATAGTAATCTACACGGAAAAACCAGCTCATAGATGAGATTCGCTTTAGAGAGGTGCATTTCATTTGTACCAATATTTCCTCTTGCAATTTGTCCGTGTTTATTATATCTTAGCTATTTCAAACCAATGTTACACTGATTAAAGTAATGATTTGGGACCATTTAGTGGTTGGGAGTCGGGTATTTGTTTAAAATAGTGTTTTTTTTAGCTTGTAATTGTTTCAGAATCAGAATACCTTTATTAGTCCCACAGAGGGGAAATTGACATAGTTACAGGAGAAAAAGAGCCAGATGACAGCTTAATGTTACATATGTTACATTCATTAAAGTACTAAGTTATGATGTAATAAAAAATAAAAAAAGTTACATAATTTTCAAAATACACATCCTGTGACAGTTCTTAGGATTTAGCAGCCAGGTGTATATTACACAGTTATTAACGGCACATATATATATTGCACGTAGTCGGTTGGTATTTAACAGCAAGGGGTGTTATAGTCTGTGTTGTGTGTGTGTGTGTGTGTGTGTGTGTGTGTGTGTGTGTGTGTGTGTGTGTGTGTGTGTGTGTGTGTGTGTGTGTGTGTGTGTGTGTGTGGGGGGGGACTTCTAGGGGTTGTGCTGGTTGTATAGTCTGACCGCTGCAGGAAGGAAGGACCTGCGGTATCTCTCCGTGAGACAGCGGGGGTGCAGCAGCCTGTCGCTGAAGGAGCTGCACAGTGAGGACAGGGTGTCCTGGAGCGGGTGGTACATGAAGTCCCTCCAGTTATAGATGTAGTAATGTATATCATCATGAATACTATCTGCTTACTGTCTAAAGCTTTAGATTTCTTATAATGGTGTCCCATTTCACATATCTTCATGATATCTTATGGTTGTATTTTGAATCAGTTTGTGACTAAATAGAATTGAATTCACTTGCATATTCATGAAAGATAGACATTTTTATGCACAAAAAAATGAACTCACATGTCCACACAACACTGTGGCCTGACAGCTCCGGTGGAATCCACCACAGTGTATTTGTTTGGCGCTGTGCACAGCACTGATAAAAAGAAAAAGAAGAAAATACACAAATGATCCACCTTGTCTGTATATCAAACATAGTCCAGCATACATGGAGAGCCCACATGGATTGTGTTTCGCTCACCTTTAAATTTGAGCGCGAACTCATAGGGGTTGTAGAGGGTGAGCACCTGCTTGTGAGACGTCTGGTCATCTGCGTAGAAGATGAGCTCAGTGGGGAACACGAACACGGGAAGGCTTCCTTCCACCAGCTCAGGCTGTCGGTGCTGCTGCTGCATTGGCCCCCGCTGAGCTCTTCCCCTTCCCCGTCCACGGTCTGCCTGGGCCCCCCCACCCCTCTCTCCACAAACTTTCAAGCTGTGTAATATCCTTTCAGGTGGCGCTTTCCACTCTCATCGCCTCAGGCACATGACGTAGCACTGTGAAGAGACACATGTGTTTGACTTCCGCTTCATTTGATGGGGAAACACTGCATCTGTTATTCAATGAATGCATCCACCAGCTGTTGTTTGTAGCTTATTTGCACCTTTATGTTTTGCAGGTGAAAAATAAAATATATAATGCACTTCCAAGGAGTCAACTACAGACCAACTTGTACGTGTTTTGAGGCCAATACGTACATCGATATTTCAGAATAAAAATCTAATAAGATGTAATGATGATCACAAAGTATGTTATAATAAAACCCCACAAATGTCATTATTCAATCCTGCAAAGTTGAGTTACTTATTGTTAGCATGTCTACTGAATTTGTTATAATGATAGGGACTCATCCTCGAAACTGTAAATGTAATTGGCAACATATATTTATTTAAACTGAATTATTGGAGTTTACTAAATGTTTTAGCTAGATTATTTGGATTATGTTATATAACTTTCAAATTCAAATAACTGTAGTTTAACAAGGTAAACAGTTCTAGGTAAACCCCATGTGGCAGGTCACGTGACGTGTTGTGTTTACATGGTAAGGGTAGATAGAGCTCAAGGAACCTTACTCATGATGTCGCAATACGTTATGGGCTCAATGCAGAAATACAAAACACAAAATATGCAGGAATGAGGCTTAATTCAAGTTGTATTTAAATATACCTGTTTTTTTTTCTAAGACTAAGCTATCCTGTCATAGTTGTATTCGTTGTTATGAGCTTAAAATGTATAGCTAACTTTAAACTGNGTGTGCCTTTGGCAGTCTCAGACAAAATATGCAGGAATGAGGCTTAATTCAAGTTGTATTTAAATATACCTGTTTTTTTTTCTAAGACTAAGCTATCCTGTCATAGTTGTATTCGTTGTTATGAGCTTAAAATGTATAGCTAACTTTAAACTGCAGTGTAATAGGTGAACACATAATGAGGTCCTTATATTCGTTATATTGTCAACAGTTATATTTTGACTTATATTTTAAACTCTACAGTTTGACAGCTAACTAGCGTTGACACTGTTATAACACATAGGTAATAAGCTAACGCTGTACAGTAGCGTTAACATTAGCTAGCGTTAGCCTGCTAGGAAAAAACCCAGATGTTAGCTGACAGCCACTTAACGTTGTCTAGACGCAGAGTCATTACTTAAAATAAAACACTGAGTCGTGTCGTTTCAAGACAGAAGTGAGAGGAAGATTTTACCTTGTTGTCAGCACAGAGGTTCTTGTAATGTCAGTGCTATCGCCAGGGTTTGAGCCTCAGATCCCACCCTGTTGTTGTTTCTCTTCAGCCCTTTTTTCTTTGTCATTAATATACTGCAGACTTCGCAGTGCATGCTGGGAAGGCGGAGGGCGTAAAAGAGTCCGTGCAAGACGTCAAAAAAAGCAGACGTAAAATGCTCCAAACAGGGAGGATGGTTGTAATAACTCCAAAGCGTTTCTTGTGAACAAACGACCCTAAACACGCAAATACAGTATCATTTGCAGAGTACTTTGAGGTAATAAGTCCGCTAAAAACAAGTAATATGAGTCATATAAAGTATCTCAAAACTGTGCTCAAATATCTACTTTATTAACTATAGTTTGAAACGCATTGCTACATGTTTCAGCACGATTATAACATGAACATAATTATAGAGAGGTTATTTCACCTTGCACACAGTGTTTTTGATGGTGATTCGCGTCTGTGTGTTAAACCTCATGTATCTCTCCGTCCAGCCTTCTTATCAGTGGCAGCAAATTGAGAAACAAGTGCAATAGTTACACAGCAGCTATACGATATAAACTGTAAGCAGATAAACTTGTCCAGGAAATATTGGCCTTCATGCATTGTGCTTGAGGTTGGCTACCATGACTTTCCACTGACCTTTAAATGTATCAGTATGTTGTCCCTAATCTCTTTTCCTTTAATGCTCGAGCTCATTATTAACACAAGTTTGGGTTCATTTGCAATTTAATGGTAAGGTCTTTCATCAAGTGCTAAAAGGACATATCAAGAATACCCTTAATGTAACTGCCATGGTGCCCTCAAGTGCTTTCGGATTTATTAATATCATGAAAGCACATGCAGAACACACGGTGCATTTTATGATTTTAGAGCTTGATTGTGAAGATACCATTTTCCCTGTTATGATTCCGCTATAATGTCATTCGTGCATGTTTGAATATTTATATATATATATGTGTGTGTGTGTGTGTGTGTATGTTCCATTTCTTCACGAAACTTCTAACCTGAATGTGCACTTTCTCTGGATGTTTCCCTTACAACATGTACAGAACAAGACACTTGCTTTATATATTTTATTTATATCTTACGTATACGTTGCGTTAACATAGATAGGCAATGTAACTGCACGTGTTCTTGTTATGGTGTGTTAAGAGTCGGAAAGACGCATATTTTGAGGGTCCTTGAACGCAGCAAGAGAAGAGAGAGTTAGAGAAAGAGAGGTTGTGTGTGTGTGTGTGTGTGTGTGTGTGTGTGTGTGTGTGTGTGTGTGTGTGTGTGCGTCCATGTATGTGTATGTGCGTGCATGCGTGTTGGGGGCGGGATGCAAGGGAATTGGCATGACATTTCAAGACATTGTAGGTCTATTAATACGATATACAGCTACAACGTTATCAGTTGACTGGTTTCAAGACAGAATATATGGGCTATTTGTGCTAAGAATCACATTTTATTCAAATACACTTCAGAGGCATGGGCAATGATTTTAAATACCCACCCGTTTAGCATAAACACAATTGAAACGGTAGGCGGATGTACTGTACACACACACCCGCCATCTCGACCTCGTTATATATTTATATATTGTAGGGGGCGTGGTCAGTGGAATCCGGTTCAGCCAATGGCGTGGCAGCGGACAGAGCGGGGTGTTCCTTTCGGTTAGGAGGAGAAGTTGAACAGCGCGACCCGAGACAGAGCTCTAGAAAGGCAGATAGAGAGGGAGCGGAGGCAACGGCCCTCTTCAGGAGGGGGGGCTTATTATAACAAATATACACACATGTGTGAACTGTTTGGCCGCACGATAGGGCACATGTGGATAACAGTAATTTTAGAAAAGCATACAACCGCGGCTTTACATTTAAAAAATGCCTATTTTACTCTTCCTGTTAGACACGTCCGCTTCTATGAATCAGCGCACTTATTTGGGTACGACGTATCTGGACGTTGCTAAAGGCGCGGTTGAGGTCTTTATGAAGGTAAAGAATGATTTACCCGATTTTTTCCCAGCAGTGTGCACCCTTGGTGGATAGGGTTCCTTGGGCAAGATCGGTCGAAATTAATATATGTTGTTTTGGTTTTCTTTTTTTGACAGCTGCGTGCCCGAGACCCGGCTAGTAGAGGCGACAGGTACATGCTAGTTACATTTGATGATCCACCATACGGAGTGAAGGTAATTAGCAACTGATACAGTTTTTACATTTGACCAGTCGAACGTATTTTTCTGTCAGTGAGACTTTATTGTCCTTCTGGTTTGTAGTCAGTGTTGGGCGGCTTCCCGGTGGCGAAAAAACGGCAATTTTTTGCTCCAAATAACCGCAGACCCGGAGCTGCACTGCCTCCGACCATCCAGCGGACATTTTGCTTTTGTGTTGAGCAAAGTCTCGGGCGTTGAGATGGAGGCGGAGAGATTTATTATCACCTATGACGTCGCTCTTTTTTTAAAGTACAATGTTTTTGATTGGTCAACGAGCCCGCCAATCACCCTCTACTCCTCCTCTTGCATCATCCACGCATTATCATTGGCCAGTCTGGGCTGAAAGTTGATAAGCCCCATTCATCATGAGTTTTTTTTTATGTGAGTTCGCTAGTAGAACATTATCATTATTTGTCATACCGATACGATGTCCCAGCATACAAATACTTTACTTCTCATAGTCACACATACAAAACAACCAGACTTGCAAACTGTGAATCACTACAATAATTTAAGGGGTTTCAGGTCAGCAAAGCCATCCTCACCAGAAATCAATAGACTTGTTTTATGAGCTGGCACACATCTCTCTGAGGTTTTCATGCCCAATAAAAGACAATCCTTAGTACCCACATGAACACCTAAGCCCCTGATGTGCTTTAGTGCCTGATCTGTGTTAGGAGTATTTTAGCTTGTGACTAGATGACTGACTAGATTACATAACCCTAACCCTGGAAAGTCATTCATTACTTCATGTAATAGCAGTAGATGGTTTGAGATTTAGAAGATAGATGAGGCTTTATGCTTATGGCACACACGTTTGCATGCAGGTCCAAAGGTACTGGTAATACCTACTTTATTTGATATCTCTACCCCTTTTAAATATTATTTCAATTAAAACCATTCGTGCATAAGAACATATGCCACTACAATACAGCCTTTATTACATGATAATAAAGTATATCATTTTGCATTGTTCATTATATGCTCAGGCTTTGGGATACATGAAAAAAGAGAATGTTTGAATAATTAAATATGGAGAAGTGACTTAAGCATTGGAGCTTCAGTGTCCAAAATAATAATTTTTATTTTGCATGGTGATATAAATGCAACCCATACTTCATATAAATAAGCAGAGCTATTTTTGATAGCAGTTCCTTCCTTTTTAAAACATAATTATAAACAATCAACGGTTATTGAAATATATTTACTGCACTTTCATCACAGAGTTTTGAGTTATTAACTAATGTACAGTCTTGCTTATAGTTAATCAAAGCAGTGCAGGAAGCTAAACAACTGTTTTGTGTCGCTTGATGGACTTCCTAAAAAACGTATATGGGCTCATTAACCCCATCACTAAAACATTATTATATACCTGCCTTTCTCCTACTGTAGGCCTATGTGTAGGACAGGGGTTATGAGTTGTTCCTACTTCACTCTGCCATTGACCTTGCAGCATTTCCCCAGATCATTGCTTCACTAAAATAATCTTGTGCAGCTATAACAACTAGAAGTGCTATCCCCTTGTTGTAAAGTCTGTCCTCAACTCCTCTCCCTCCTGCTCTTCCTCTCTTTGTCTTCATCTCCTTCTCCTTTGTTGTTTCTTCTGGCTCTGTACACTGAGGATTATGATGAAAGGACAAGGTTATACTGAATGGGGCTACTCTGATTGCACAGTTACAGAGGCAATACATTGTTGATGTAGAGGGAGAGAGAGGAGGCTGGGTGAGAGGAAAATAGAAATATTCTCTAGTCTGAATTATTGAGTGAGAGCTAAGCCTTACATTTTTACTGGCCTACACAAGGGTGTATGTCTGGGTTATTATTCTACTACCCATGTTTATGTTTACACCTTGAGTTGTACTCAAGCTGATGCCGGCATGACTGAAAAATTGTAATTTAACATCATGCAACACTAAGCTTTTCTAGAAATTCCCTCAAATGCATGCCTTTGGAATGATACACAACCTATGTCACATTTTTTATTATTATATATACGCCATGTTTTTTAATTCTCAACTCCTCCCAAAAACTTTAACGTAGAAACTTGATTTAAACAGCAACACGTTTATCTCTTTTATAACAACATGCACAATATTTGTTTTCTCTAATATCTTACCTACTTTTAAAGGGGCCCTATGATGCTTATTTGTAGGTTCATATTTGTATTAAGTGTCTCTCCTGTGACATGTCTCCAGGCTTTAATGTTCAAAAAGCTCTTTATTTTTCTCATACTACCTGTGCTGCAGCACAAACCAGAGCCCAGTCTGCTCTGATTGGTTAGCTGGCTGGCTCTGTTGTGATTGGTCAACCGCTTAGAGGTGTCCCCTCCCTTAGCCTATCACATCAAATGTGTTGGAGCGCTAGCCAATAGAAGTGTGAGGGTTATATAGTGATGTCATTATGTTAAGGAAGTAAAAGAAGGAGTCCAATGGAGGCGTTTCAGACAGTGGGGATTGTGGGAGAGAAACTCCCTCTGGAGAAAAAACAGGTACCATGGCCTCTGCAGACCATTTACATGCACACAAACCATAACACACTGCAGGAAAGATAAGTGACAAAAAAGCAGAATATTTCACATGTCAATCAATCAATGTTTATTTATATAGCCCAATATCACAAATGTTACATTTGTCTCAGTGGACTTCACAGTTTGTACAGAATATCAGTATGACAACATGTAGCAGGAAAAATGATTCCTCATTTCAATAATAGGCGTTCATAATGTAAACATTCTCTCAAAATGTCATGCTCTTCAATTTAAAACAGACAAATTCATTAATTCTTTGAGCCACTCAATCTTTAAATTGTTCAACAAATGTCATATAATAATGGGTTTTATTCAACTTGTAAATCCAATTCAAACTTTCCCTTTCTTTGACGCATTAAAGCCAGTGATTCAGTGTAGGGTCCACCAAATCAAATCCATCATTCACACGGTCATTTCTTCACTTCTTGG